AAGGTGATGTTACACGGGACGATTTGCAACGACGATTTTTAGCGCAACGCAGTGTTGCAATGTTGGAACAATGTTGTAACTATTCGAAACAACGTCGCAACAATGTTGCAACGCTGTGTTGCGCTAAAAATCGTCGTTGCGAATCGTCTCGTGTAACAAGACCTTAAGAGTAGACAAAAATGTGCTCTAGAATGAACACTGATGAACTACCTTGTTTTCCAAAGTGTCCTCGACATCAATCACCAAGTTATCAGCCACATTCTCCTTGTTTTGGTCATCCCTCACATAGAACAGTAAGAGGCGGCATTTTGGCACCATCTTCTGGGTTACATTAAACTCAATGAAGCCCTGGCTGGTGAACATGTCTTCGTTCTTGGAATTATTGAATGTTTTCATGCCAGGCTGATGATCAACGGGATGTAGTTTACGTACCTGGGCCACAAGCTTTCCACGACTAAACACCTTTCAATGACAAAGAGAGAATACATCCATGTAACTTAGAACACTTCAAAACAATCAAGCCATTTCCTAACCAGCGTAGCGAGCGTTTCCGCGCGAGTTCGCCAAGAAACTTCTTACGAGAGCTAAAAAACTCAACTGTAACTCGACTGGAAGCGCTTGCTATGTAGGCAAGCCATTTCTCTGTCAATTGCTATACCTAAGAACTGTTTGCCGCCTGTAAAAAAATATCATACAGTTGCAATCAAAATCTAAATTTCAATTTGACCCTAAGGAGTAAAACAGGGAGTTAGAAAAGGCAGTCATGAAAAAAAAAAGGATTAAACTAAAATAAAAATGATTTTATACTCACTTGCAAATGGAAGTTGATATTTCTAGTACCATTGCTAGTAGTGAAATCAAACATAATCTTAGCACTGGATCCAACCTGTTGAATATGAAAGTTTGACAACAAATAATGAACTGTTGCTATTAACGAGTTTGGGATTCACCCTTTCACCCTTAAAAGACAAATTTCGCCTTATATAGAATTCTCAGAAAAAAGTACAACTACACTAAAATTCTGTCAAAGAGTTTACATTTGAATGGTAACACCACACCACAGAGTTTCGTCCAAAGATTTAAAAGTTAGGGTGACAAATACTCTTCACGATAACCACACAATCAGAGTATTGACTGAAATATCCAGATAAATACTTCAAACTATAGAGTACAAAAGAAATACAGAATACCGAGTGGTGCTAAATTTTTGCGTTTTTTTAGGCGATCCGCCTAAAAAAGTTTTCCGCAACTGAAAAATTTACTCCACTGTAGATACCGGTATGCTGTACAAAAACTTCGCTACACAAAACTAATAAAAATAGTGCCTATTGAATTTAAATCGTTAAAATGTTATTTGAATCCACTAGAACGCGATTTTCCGAAAATCGCAAAAATTAACTCCTAGCAAAAAAATAATAATTCTCTTTCCTGCACGCAAAACTCAGTTTCCGCAAGCTGACACAAAGAATCGTTCAACTCGACAAACAGTGGTCTACTCTTCTTTGAGTTTGACTCAATTTTTGTGAACGTGTGATTAAAACGAGCAAACTGACCACTGAAAGTACACCGAGGGGCCTAGTCCCCTTAACCCTTTAAACCCTAAGATCAAAATTTGAATTCCCATTTGTTGCCCCAATTCATTTCCTACAGAAGTAGTGGGGAGAAGTTGATAAAATATTAAGTAAATTCATCTTGTGTGATCATGTCCGTAATTCTCATGACCACTCTGTTTTACAAAGCATTGATATTACAGGGAGAAATTTGATGCTGATCACTTTTAGGGCTTAAAGAGTTAAGAGCTGGAGTGAAAGAAAGGAGTCCGCTCCAAAACAAAGGAATTATATGCGGTGTCCTATGACTCGTAGTAAGGACTTTACGATCCGAAGACGCGATAGCGGCGAAAACGCCGCTTAAAAAGTGACTTTACGATCTTCCAGTCTTTATCGTGATTATTCCTACCCATTTACTTTATCAAAAGTAGGCGAACCCTCCTGGAGCTGAATTCCTAGGATCCCTATCCATGTTAAGAGAGAGAAAAATAAAATTTCGTCGTCGCTTGTTTACGTCCTCCATGAAACGTCCAGTTAGGAAATTTCACATCGTAGTCGTGTAAAAAAGGCAAAGAAATGTACAAAAAAGTGTGATGCACTTGCAAAGTTGTTGTTATGCCTTCTTGACCTATTGTTTGTTTGTTTGTTTGTTTGTTTGTTTTGACGTTGTCGTTGCCATCGCGTCGTCGGATCGTGAAGTCCCTAGTAGTATGCATAGAATGCAGGGGTTACCATTAATTACACAAACCACCCGGCTGGAGATCTTGTGCATAAACAAAAAACCCTGTAAAATTTGACGTGGTGGGAGATCGACCCACTACAATGTAAATACCAATCTACTAAAGATAGTAGACAATTGCACCACCTAGACGGGGAGGCTCTGCCCGAAAGGGGTACCTTTTTCAGGCTTCAGGTATATGAAAGGGTTGGGATTTAACTTGTTGAAGTATAAAAAAGGGTAGGGAAATCTGTCGTTTCGGTCTGTAAAAGTGACCTAAAAAGGCAAACAGAAGGATTTTGTTGCTTTGAAAAAGTCGCAAAAATCTCCCATTTTAGAGAATTATTTACAATTTTAAGACTGTATTTTCAGCAGTTAAGGATGCAAAGTTCTCAGTAAGTTATGTGAAAGGGCTACCATATTTTGTCAGGAGATGGTATACGAAAAGGGTACCTTTCCTGTCAAAAACGGCATACAAAAGGGACTCCCCCTCCCCCATAGACTTTGAACAGTACCCCCGGGATCACAGACCAAATTTTCTGAACCTACTCAAAAGGAAAGACGCGAACCATTTGATTTTCCAAACGGAATTAACGGTTTTAGCAATGTTAATGGTAAGTAGCACAGGTCCAGCACAAAATAACAACAAGTAAGTTCACGATTTATTGCAAAAGTTTACTCACTTTCAATGGAGCGGTGATCTTTTCCATTTCAATATAACTGTCACTTGGAGAAAGCCAACGCTGCCCTACTTTATAGCTACTTGTACGTTTACCATTGTAATTTGCCTACCAATAAAAATTGATAACGAGGAATAAGCACATCAAAATAACATTTTTTCAATTTTTTCTTTACCATCTAATCTTTTGATCACGTACTGACGTTGCAAGGATAAAATTGATGTTAGTCACTTTAGGGACTTAAAGGGGATAATAATTTATTATGCAAACCCTACATCTCTTACAAAAGAACAACAAAAGTTAATGTTATCTCAATGCTGATCATTGCATTGGTGTTCGACTTTATTTCTTTTTAATTAATAATAACAAATAGCTAAAATTGAAAAGCATACCTCCAGCGTCAGGGATCTTGCCTTCTGTGAAATTTGATTACCAGGAACCACAAAACTGATGACTCCATTTTCTGGAACAGCATATTTCTTTCGGAACACTTCTTGTTCTGAATAGCTCGAGACCCAACATGGTCTCTCAATAGGAATTTTAACAATGAGTTCAATTGACTTCCCTTTGAGTGGACTTCCATCAATCAGAGTGGCTTTCAACTACATGAGGTAAACATCATGATGCCAAGAAAATCAGTGAAGGGCAAGCTGTAGTTAGCATGTGCTAGCCCGAAAGTCAGTTAGAGTAGCCCAAAGAAATTTTTGACGAGCACGATTAATAACTAATTAATTAATAACATCTACTACTTAATTATACCATAAAATTCGTTGTAAATACAGTTGAACCTCCATTAAGAAGGGACCCTCGGGGTGCCGGCAAGTGGCCACTTGATGGAGGTTGGCCGCTCATTAGAGCGGTTTGCGATCAATAAAAAGGGTCATAAATTAGCATAATCTCTAGCAGAAACATTGCATTATTTTAAAACAAACACGCGACGGGGGCAGCATTACTGGTACACAATCGGTCGTCACCTTCTCTCTCGGGCTGTCTTGTTTCATCATAAATTAAAGGAAAACTTAGTCTGTAAAGTGCTTGATGGTCGCTTAATAGAGGTGACAACAATGGGAAGACTCTTGTTGCCAGGGACGGCAAAAAGGTGGCCGCGGTCACTTAATACATGTTAATAGAGGTGGGCGCTAGAGGTTTAATGTCCCATCCGTTTTCTACAATTATTACGGGACTTCGATTGCTGGCCGCTTAATGGGAGTCCAACTGCAGCTATGATTCGACAAAAGGTTTGGGAACCTTACTTCTAAGGCATTTTCAATTGTTTTTACCCGAAGGTTGCGCGGATCACACAATGTCTAGTCTGACATGAAATGTAGTGTTGTACTTGTTTTGATACTAGCTTTTACAGAGTACACTCTGTCAGATGAACTTGAAAATAGGCTTCCGGTCAACATGAATTTATTAGGAATTTTAAATTTGCCTCGAAGTACTTGGGTAACTTGAATTCCCCAAAGAACGTTACTTGTCAGTCAAACAAGTTAAGAACAGAATTCACTAGCCCCATGGCAAAATCCACAAGGACCAGGCTATCAGACACAACTTTCTATGCATGACGAAACATTATGCATGTGTAATTCAATTTTCAAGAGAACATGAAAGAACATGAAAAATTTGGGCGGGCCTATGCTAGCAAACTTGATGCACGAGCAGCAACCACTGCAGGGTTCATAAAAAAATGCAGCCATTTTTCAAGGATTTTTCAAGGTTCACAGACTGTACAAAAATGCACATTCCCAGTCTATTCTAATACGGCTTTAAGGCTTGAACTGTTTGATTCACCAACTTCTCTACATTTTTCAGTTCATTTGTCTTGAATTGACAGTTAATTATTGCTTAAAGCATTGACCACTTTGTGTAAATAACCTTTAAATTCTCTGAGCTATGATTCATGTTCTGCCTTGGACAACCCAAAAGCGTGAAAAAAACACTTTCCAGGCCAATAAATTCAAAGTTGAAGAAAACTCACGGACTTTTCTAGGAAAAAATGAAATTCAAGGACTTTTCAAGACTGTCCCAACCCTGCTTAAGAAAGGAGGCATTGTAGTGTAGAGGCCTTGCAGCTCTTTTTCAGATACCTCACAAAAAGTGAACATTTTTTACCTGCCCAGTAAATACCATGCCTGGTTTGAAACTCCTGGGGGTAGTAGAAAGGAATTCCACTTTTGTAGTTTCTCTGACAACCTGTGTTTCTGTTTCTGTAGCATTTAGGGTTACTCCAGTTGCTGTCTCTGTCACAGTAGCATTTATGACAACTTTAGCATTAGACAAATAGTAAGTGTAGCCATATCCTTTTCCAATGCCAAATAGTCCGCCTGGACTGACTGAGACTTCAGTGCAGCCATTAATCTAAAACAAAGAAATTAATACATATTAAGACGGAAGCCATCTAGCCTCCCCGCAGACGTCCTTTGGGATTCGTTCGTCGTGCATTCATTTCTCCCCAGAAAAGAATGCGAGACGAACGAACCCCAAAGGACGTCTGCGGGGAGGCTAGAAGCCATCAGAAAATTCAGTAATTTTAATTTTCAGTGGACAAAAACCTTGTACCAGAATACTTTACAGCAAAGACGAAATCAGTTATATGTAATAACAGCAAAGAAAATTTCTTATGGGAGCCTGAAAAATAAATTTCAAATTTCACAAAGTGGACCAAAATGAGATCTTACGCATGAAATTTTACCTGTGTTTACACAATTTCTATGAAATTTGAAATTCATTTTCTCAAGCTCCCATAAGAAATTGCCTTCCGTGTTATATTACAGATAATTAATTACATTATTCTATAGCCCTTGAAAAATGTGAAAAAGAATTTGATATGGTTTAAATTATTCTGGTACAACCACCAAGTTAAAATTACTCGCTTTCCTGATGGGTTCTGTCTTAAACAATCCTAAACAAGGGGCATGTTCCAGCTGGCCCATTTATTGCCTAACTGTAAAACAATGAAAAAAACTGTGAAACCAACATTTAAGCTTAAGAAAAACACAAATCCAACTCTAACGAATTTGTAGAGCTCTTCCAACTTCCTCAGTAAGAAGAAAAGTGGTGCCAAAGCAACATGAGATTTGTCCCTATTTCACTTTTAAGATCCCCATGAAAAGTCACCCCGAAAAATAAGGAACACAATCAAAACAAACAAACATAATAAGGGGGGACACAGCCCTGTGGCAGGTAATTTGCTAGCCCGAGAAAACATCCATTTCTCCTCGCTCTTCGCCACTGGCCATGGGGACGTTTTGCGCGGAAGAACATTGATTTGCGTCATCAGTATTGAATTTCTACCGCTGGATTTCAGACGTTCCTCCTCACGAAACATCCCCTGCAGTGAAGAGCGAGAAGAAACGGATGTTTTTGCAGGCTGGTAATCTGCAACCTTGGGTTATGCTCACAAATAACACAAATCATCACTTATTACCCAACTACCAGTGGTAGTTGGGCAAGTCTCTAGTCTCCCCTATGCTGCATGAGCTGGATTCGACAAGATAAAGGCAAAGGAATAAGATGGCTAGACACAAGCAAAGCCAAAGGGTTAGGGGAAGTCAAAAGTCTGCAATGCGACCCCACAAGTGAGGATTTTTGTTATTTGTAAGCATATCCCAAAGTTGCAAATTTCCTAAACAGGGTGCAAACAAAGTCAATTTTCGGGCAAGCTGTAACTAACATCTACTAGCCCGAAAGTCACTTTTACAAGCCCAAAAAAAGTTCTTCGCGAGCAGAATGAAAAAATATTGATTAATTATTCCTTTCTTAAATACACTGTAAGTTAATAAATTACTGGCTTCATTTATTCATTACAATCAGCTGTAGTTATTTAACAACAGCAATAAATAACCGTAAAAGTGTGAGCTATAAGTAGACCTGGTAAGATACTCTTGACACACTAGTACAATGATTCAGTGTTCACCTTTTGATTATAAATGCCTTTGTCTTGAAAGTCAACTCACAGTGATGAAATAAGGAATTTAAGTGAAGCTAATGGAATGAAGGTCCAAATAACAGACAAACGTTTGTCTTTGAACACAATGCTAAAAAATACGTATTACTGGTTAACCTCTTGTGAAAATGTTCAAATACTCAATCTTCTGTAATGCTTTGAGTTCAACACAATATTCACTCCCAATGTCTTCAACTAGGTTGATTTTTTGCTGTTTTGCTCTCGGCATTGCCACACTGTAGAATGTTTTCTAAGTCCACCACAACACGTGAATGATTAACATCCATTTTAGACATTTTACAACTTAGAAAAACATTTTTTAAGAAAAAAAACCGTGAAACCAAAGTTCTCAAATGACACACTAAACGACAACGTAGACAACGCGAAAAGGTGCCAGTGAAAGCGCTTCATTCTGCAATTTGTCGCGCAATTTTCCGCTGGAGTATTTCTTAGCCGCTGACAGGGGAGATGTTTATATTATTAAAGGGCATAAAAGTTTGACAGCTTTCAACAGTTTGCTTCTCATTCAAAAGTGGTGCATTCTGAAGATCATTTTTCTGAAGAACGTTTGTTTGGGAGTCGGTTTTCCAAGTCAAGTTTCAAGTTCACGGGAAAGTGGAAAGTGCGAGTGTCAACTCACGCATCAGTGAGCAAATATCATGTAAACAAAAATTCTGCAAATTTGGGGTTCATCTTGTTACAAGTAACCAAAGGATTTAGGTTTCAAAAGAACAAAAACGTTCGTTTTATTTTTTCATCTGAAAGATTTTCGTGAAAAGTGAAAACAATACGGGGTGGTCTATATATTTTAATCAACAAACACCTACAGTATCAGTGCTTTAGAATTTACCATACTGAAACGCACGTGACCAATATTTGCTAAAACCATAATAAATTCTTCACAGGAGTTCAGGATCAAAACCTTTAGGTTCCTCACAAATGATTATGAAGCAAAATTTAGACAAACGGCTTTCTCTGAATCAGTAAGAATTAGTCACGGGCAACATTTACCTCCAAAGTTTTTTCAATATCTGCTTTTCCTTTATGCGCAGGATCTCAATCTAGACTACGAGCAGTCCCCCATTTTTGCTCAAGAATAGTAGAGCGAGCGAAACGCGAGCGCGCGTGAAAATAACCCCACGCGAGAAAAGGCGACACGCGGCGGGGAGAGAGAAAAATTTTGCTCTCTCCCCGCCGCATTTCGCCTTTCCTCGCGTGGGGTGATTTTCACGCGCGCTCGCGTTTCGCTCGCTCTACTATCCTTGAGGAAAAATGGGGGACTACTCGTAGTCTATCTCAATCTGTCTCGTCTGACATGTAATGCGATACATCGTCTTGTTTATGCAGATTTCACTTCGTCGGAGCGACTTTCGGTCCGCAGGGCAAGTTAAGAACAGAAGTCACTAGCCCGATCGCAAAATCCAACCTACGACCCCGGACAAAACCTGTTGAGACAAATCGCGAAAATGCCTATTTTTTCCTGTCATCCTGGCAAAAACTGAAACCGCCGCCAAATGAATGCCCGATTTCCCCCCTCCCCTTATCCAAAGTTGTTTAGGATAGCATGGCAATTATACACGTTGGTTTTTAGACCAAGGCAACTTTGAATAGGGGGTGGGGAGGGGGTTTACTTTTTGTGTTTAGGGGAGATGGGAGTAGGGCGCAAAAGTTAGAAAATAGATGGAATTGTCTCAACAGTTTTGTCCGGGGTTGTCTGTGAAGGCCAGTTGTTCAAATCGCTGTAACTTCGCGATGTAAGGTCGGAGGGTATTGATTTTTTGCACAGATGTTGTACTTGTCTAAAGCTTTGTGACTACGAAAGAAGGTGTCATAAAAACAATTAGGACGCATTAATTATGTACTTAGAAATTTAGCCATAAATTAGAAACCTTATACCTAAATGAGAAAGAAATCATGCTCTTTACAGAAAAAGTATTGAAATTAATTGTGGTTGGTGGCCACGGTTAAGGAGTTACTGTGTGTCACAAGTATGATATCTTAATAGGAGCCTTACCTCCGGCCTTTTTACCAACGTTAATTGTGCTTACATGTCGAATAAATTAGATAAGACTGGGTATTTATTATATTTGCGCAGCACAACTGTCCTGTTCAAAAATAATAGTGCGTGGTGTGCAGGTCATGCACGAGGACTCAAGAATGCAGCGGAGCAGTTAAAAATAACCCTTAGAGGTAGTGATACTTAGTTGCAGTGACAACTTTCTCCATGTAGTTAGAGTAGAACTGGAAAAGTAAGCTTCACCGAGTTAACAATACCCGCGTTTACTGAGTGTGTAATTAGAACAATTTACAACATATATACCAGATTATCTACTTGACAAAATAATGGAATCCATGCCGATAAAACCGTTAATTCTTCTATGACAACCAAGGCCAAAAGAACAAATATTAATGAAGAACTTCCAAAATGGGTAGAAATAGGATGTGTAGGGAAAGCAATGCCTCTTTGATCACAAATACAGCGAAAACATGTTGTCACGCGATGGCAGTTCTTTTGTGGCAAAAAACAGCGCATTTCATGACAATTACACCAGTGTCAAAAAGTTTTCCCTTGAGTAAAAAGGTCTTTTTAATGCTTGAAAATCAACAAAAAGGTTCTATATACTACGGAAAATGCTTGAAAGCACCGTAAACGCTTGAAATAAACGATTAACAGGCACGCACATGTTTATTCCAACGGTTGACAACGGTTAACAGCGGTTAACAGAATATATTAAAGGAAACTGATAGTCTAACTGTTGTTTTTCTTCAGAAAAGTTGTTAACCGTTGTTAACCGTCGTTAACCGATGTTTCTTTCCTCTGCGGTACTTTATTCGTTAAGTTAACCGTCTGCGAGAAAAACTACTCCGTTTTTGTTGCATAGCAAGCTCATCGAAGCACCTTACACATCAAGGGATTTCCCGTTATTGTTCCCGCGGGATCTGCGTGGAGAAATGAGAGATCCATCATACCACATTCCCGTTCGTACACAATTCCACATTTGCTGTAACTGAGGCAATGTTGTCCTATTAAGTGTAGGATCTTTGCACTACACTTGGCGAACGACGTAATCACTGCTAAGGCTAATTACTCGCGGGATGGAAAAATGAGCCAAATTCGCGTGACTGTAAGTGACCAGATAAGCGCACTAACCTTCCTCTCACCTAGTGAATCATGCGATATTTCCGAGCCTCCTGAAAATGATTCGTCACTATCGGAAGTTCTCGAGAGATCCATTTTGTCTGGCGATTACATATCAATGTCACCATTTGAGCAGGCAAAGCGTCTACGGACACGTAAGCCGTTGAAAGTCATGCCCATGGTAACGTCACAGAGTAAATGTCATTTGACAGATCATGTAATCAGAGTGTTATAACTTCAATTTTTACTGTAAAAATTTTATTTCGCATTCAAAAGAAAAAAAAAGTATGCTGAAACAATGGCTTTTATCAATTTGACCAAAAGAGAGGACTATAACTTGAGGTAATTGCTATGAAAGTTAAAGAATACCGAAAACAGTCCGCAGACAACCCCGGACAAAACCTGTTGAGACAAATCGCGAAAATGCCTATTTTTTCCTGTCATCCCGGCAAAAACTGAAACCGCCGCCAAATGAATGCCCGATTTCCCCCCTCCCCTTATCCAAAGTTGTTTAGGATAGCATGGCAATTATACACGTTGGTTTTTAGACCAAGGCAACTTTGAATAGGGGGTGGGGAGGGGGTTTACTTTTTGTGTTTAGGGGAGACGGGAGTAGGGCGCAAAAGTTAGAAAATAGATGGAATTGTCTCAACAGTTTTGTCCGGGGTTGTAGCTACCAAGTAAAGCCAAGAAATATGACCACAGTTGAATAGATCAGAAAATGCGCAAACTTAGGCATCCTGTTGAGTCTCCTTAAGTTTACTAAGAGTTTCTTCTTTACCTCTCATCTCATGACTCGCGTGTTTTCTGGGCCCTCTTGAAGTGGGTACACATGTCCCTGGTCTAAAGGGGGCCCCTGACCACACTAATGCCTTTTCAAAGGTATGTTGTCATTGAAAACTCATTGATCGCTTCATGTCAACACTACCCTTTTGACACGTTTTCCAATATCCATGCACACTAAAACATTTGAAAACAATAGAATTGCACGTTATTATGTAAGTTAAACTCTTTGCCCATGCTACCAACACATGCACCTGCGAATTTTTGGTCATCGTTTTCACTTTGATGCGTTTTCGACCGTCCACACTAATACTTGTGAAAAGTATTAGAAACCTTAATATTTCTACACACTAAATGGTATGACACTCACTTCCTTTTCCTTTGTGGTTTGTGCTTCCCTGTATCTGTACCTATATGATAACTTGAGCCTAAACAGTACTTTGACCTTCCCTTTCACAGGCTGTCCATAGGTGTATCTGTGGTATAAAGCAGCTAGTTACCAGTTGGTTTTTTGGTTCACATACAGCGAATTTGCGTTGGGGGTCGGGAGTTAATAGAGAGATTGAGAATCTCGTTTATGCCACAGTGAATTTGTACCAAGTTAATTGTTGTTAAATGTTTATTACTTCTACTCAAAAATAATAAGTAGATTCACGCCAATTTTATCCATTAGAATTGTTGTGAGCTGTTTTTATCTGCATAGTTTCTATTCTGAGAAATTCTCAACTTGAATCTGACATTTGCCGTTTGGCGTAAATGTGACTCTTAATCTTTCTGCCATGTGAAAGCTGCGGGGTGCTTGTCAAATAATTGGAAATAGGCCCCTGAGGAAATACAATCTGGGCATCGCCAAAGGTGTATTTGAACTGTAAGATACCATTCTATTACAGGCAGCCAACTAAGACCCAGCTATAGTCACCATTAAATGTTTTCATTCCCCGTGAAATATTATCTACGTTCCATTTTATGATTTGCGTCTTTCACCCTGCATGGTGTCCGGGTATTAACTCAAAGCCTTGGAATGTTGTGTGCATTACCAAAAATTTGATTGTGACAGTTTGGCAGCCATTTGATTGTTTGAACCTTAATTATGTAGTACCGTACAGTCATACTAACGGAAACCTCTGTAAAATGACAACTTTTTTGTCCCGGCGAACAGTCCATACATTGACTCTTTCTTGAACCGCTCTACAATGGCAATTAAAATGGCCACTAATAAAGTGTGTCATCAACTGGCAAAATAACCTCTCAACAATGGGCAAGTTTGTTAGTGACTGATGAAAAAGTCAGGAATGGTCACAAAAATTGATCCATAAGGCACGTTGATGACTAATCATAGAATCGTATTTTGATTGCGTTCCATTAATTTATACTACTACAGTAAGCATAAATTGACTACGAGACTTGTTCATTTTGTCACATTAACATTTTCATTCGAAACATTATTCAAGTTGTGTATTTCATCTCTCTGTATATTATTTGTAATTGGATTGACATTATGATATACAGTGAGCATGAACTTAGCACAATATACATGTTGTACTCCTCAAAAAAATTTTTGTCATATTACACCCCTACCTTCCCATAACGGTCACCTCTCCATCACAGCCACATTCTTCTGTCCCCAAAGGTGGCCATTGTAGAGAGGTTCGACTTTATTATTAAATAATTGCTCTGGTGGACAATATTATTAAATTTTTAATACACCCGGTGACCATTTTGTAATAGTGCTTTAGGTTGCCAAAAGGCAACTTTGAAAAAAATTGAGCTTGGGGTATCATTCATGGTTATATTACATAAAAAAAACAAGGAATGAGAGCAGGTATGAGATGGCAGGTACTTTGGCAATAGCACATAAGTTTGATGCGATGTCCAGAGAGGTACATTTTTAACATTCATGATTTATTATTGAAATCGCTAAATTTTGTTCTCTAATTAAAAAAAAAAATGGCACTGTGCACCACGCACCAGTGTGTAAGAGTCATAAAAATTTTCAAAAAATATTCATTTTATTTATCAAGAATAATTATAACAATTTATTATTAATAGGAATCCAAAAAAAAAAAATTGTACTTCAACCTTGGAAAAAGAATAAATCTCAGTCTGTTATTTAATAATAAGAATAAAGCAATTTCCGTCTTATTTTGCTGCTGTTTAGTGGCAATTTATTTTCTTGCTTGAATGTGATTCACTCCGAGGACTTAACCGCTAAGTGTATAGTGTATCCTATTAAAGTTTGAGATGTGAGCTCTCATAGCTTATTACTTGTGCATAGAATTTAAGGTACACTAGATATGAAATTTTTCTGTAGAAGGAAAAAAAATTACTGTATTTTACATTACATGTGTATAACAACCTTGCTAACCTCATGGAAAATAAATATACTTTTAGTACACAACATAATGTACTAAAAGTATACTGCTGTTGGGTGAAAAAAGTATACTCTAAGTATACTTTAAGTATAGTTATAGTATATTTAAAGTACATTATAACATCTTCACAGATAATACTTTTTTGTACTAAAAGTATACAAAACGTAGCATGAGTTTTGGACTCAGGAATGTACTAGGGAAAAGTATACTTTAAGTATACTTTCAGCACATTGCTTTGCTTGCATCTATCAGACTGTACTCAAAGTATACTTTGAGTACATACCTATTATACTAAAAGCATACTTTGTGTATACTTACTATAGTGAAAGTCTAACAACGGTCAACAAGACATTGAAACATTTATTTAAAAATATTTGATGATCTAGATCAAAACTGTAGATTTACAATAATTAGTAGTTAACTGACAAAAAATATAGGTGAGACTTATCTAAAAAAGATATAAAAAAATCACAAAATAGCTGTTGTGGAGACTATACAAAAATCCTGTTTGCAGGTTAACAAGTAGTGCAAACCTTAATTACTTAAACTTTTAGCATTAATAGCACTATATATAGCGTCCTGTGGGTAAGAAAGTACAGAACATATTTTGTTCAAGACTTTATAGCCACATATGCAATTTTAAAAATAATCACTAAGGGAATTTTCAGTTGAAAGGCATGATTAAATGAAACAAACACCTTCAGCTCTCATATGAAACTAGACAAAATAAATTGCATCCTGATTAATGATGGTCTTCTTAACTTAAAAGATTTAGAGATACTCACATCAGTAGTCAGCGACTTCAAATATCCACAAACGTTTTGTCAGATGAACTGGCATTACTTGAATACTATATACTGAGTCCTTGATTCAGCTTGGCCATCAAGGCACAGGCATTTTTACAGAAGTCTTTATAACTGTTCGTAAAAAAGTATTTAACTTCATTAGTTAAGTAGTTTTCCTAGTCAGGTAGGTGACAGCAAAAAAGTAGCTAATTGTAGTTTTGCAAAAATTTGAAATCAAAATCTGAAATAAAGAACACATCAGAGGTGCTTGTTACAGTCTAAAGAGGAAAAGAAAAGTCCTCGACTGTAACAAATACTGTACTGTTACTGTTAGATGGAAAGGTGTTCAAGGATTAAGTTTCAATATCATTATAAGGGCGTGCATCCAAAACAATGAATTACTTTATTAAATCACTGGATTATTAAAAATTCGCCCCATGTAAGGGAGTCTTTTTGCTTGTTGAATCCAGAATCCGGGAACATTTTGCTTGTGGAATCCGGAATCCTTGGCCTTAGAATCCCGAAAATACAGCTCAAGGAATCCGGAATCCCAATAACGATTGGAATCCGGAATCCAGAATCCAAGTTTCCACTGACAAAGGCTGGAATCCAGTACCGGAATCCGGAATCTACCACATGGAATCCAGAATCCAAGACGCTCTTGGATTCCATTACGTGAGATGGAAAAACGTAGATTTGTTGGGTCACAAGCACTCCATCAACAGAGTCTCAACAGCCTATATAGCTGTGCCAAAAGTGTTAAAATTCTGCACTCAGTTCCTCGAAAATTAATTCTGCTTAAATTTTAAACCAAGATTAATTTAGTCCAAATTTTGTGATTATTCAATATTATGCCTTTGATACTCGCTCCGAGATCGAGCTATGAAAACACTGTAGGACAGTAAATACAAAAAAGGAATTTTCTTTCAATCCTGTATTATGGACCTAGACTGAAAGTGTTCATTACAAGAACTTTGCTGCTTTGTTGTTGTTTCAAACAATTCATCTTAATAGCTCAACTTCAAATGAATGCACGGACTGTTTATTAAAAAAAAAAAAGAAGAAGAAGAAGCAGATCGGGACAAGAAACTGTAAAACCACACAAGCATTGACATCTTTCTACAAAAGAGTGAAAAAGCATAAAGAGAACCCATTTATCGAAAGGTACGTAAAGGACAACACTTACCTTTTCAGCCAGTACGTAGTCTCTGATTATTAAAATGAAATCTTCATACATCGATGTACGGAGTTAACCAGAGTTTAATTTCGTCTGCGCACAGGCTCATGTACATATGCTGATTTTTTTTTTTTAACCGGTTAAGTTAATGAACAATATGTGAGGGACAAGCATGAGTTCTGAACTGAGGTCGGAGTAAAAGGAAACTGCTTGAGCTTCGTCATCGCCTTGAGTTCGCAAGTGAAGATCGAATATCGATATTTTACATACATACGGCTGTATTTTTGGCCATTTTAATTACACGTCACAATTTTTCTTGCTCCTTTTGATTTAAGCTTCAATGCATGCACGAATGGATCCAAGTTTAATAGCTCGTCGTGATTGCACTGTTTTAAAGTACAGTGTCTTTAATGACAGGCGGCCGGTCAAAGTTTTCCAATCTGTATTTTTTACAGGTCTTCTTATCTTCTGCGGACCACGGACTGAGGACTGGGTAAAAAACACGGACTAGGTATAAAATGAGGACCGCGGACTACGTTGGTTAAATTAACCTTTTAATCAAAGGAATAAGTAATTATTTATTAATTTGTTGATTTACTTTTTTAAAGATCTTTTACCTGTAATATCCTCTGTGAAGATCTTTAATTACTGGCTCATTAATTCCTATTTGTATGATGATGTTCTTACAGTAATTAATTAAGTGTACATGACTTGTATTGTAATTATAATTCTGCGCCGTTCCCAAGTGCATCATTTAGGAAAAACTACGACAGAACACTAAAGTACCATGTTCGAAGCCTGATGTTTGCGATCCTTTATTTTCAACTTGGATACTAAAAACATATGCACATACATGCAACCATTAAAATTAATGTTGTGATGCAACTGTACAATTACTGAATCCACTTAAATATATTTTGATCTGCTTTGGACAAATCTTTTCTTTGACTGTTGTACATGCAATTTATTATAATGGAATGATTATCCTAAAAATGCAAATGAGCAGTTAAGTTCTAAATGCACCCATCCAAAAGTGCATAGCACCAATTTAATTTTTCATTGAAACTGTTATCGTTAGCTTCATGGGAATTCAAGTGAGATTTGCACGAAAGTGGCCCAGTGGCCCCCGTTGCATACCATAAAGATAATGAAAGCAAAATAATAATTGTCAGAACTTAATAGTCCACTAATGATGCAGTATCAGAAGCCTTTATTGTCAAAGATTGTACCACATTATCCATCTCTTAGAAGAAATAAAATAAAGGCAAAGATTATAGTGCCCTTCAGTAATCTTTTTTATTCTTTCAAACCACATAGCTCCATTGTTGTTGACAGCTGTTGTATTTGTATGATATTCTTGTTACTTAATCAACAACATAGGATCTTCCAAAGGTTGTAATAAAGACATTTCCATATTATATGAGAATGGCACTATAGGTGAAACTCTTCCTTGTATATAATATTATTATTCTTGTGTTGTAATAATCATGCAGTACAAAAGCAGTATAATGGAATTTCAGTACATTTGCAGTATAGACTTATTCTTGTGCTTACGTAACGCAATTTAAGTACGCAGTTGACTGTAGCATAATAGTAGTATACTGGAATTGTACTTTTTTGGGGTCAATTTGTGGAAGAACATTTCAAGTATAGATCATGGTAAGTCTGGTTAGTGTGCAGTAGGTTTACAGTATACTGTAAATGTACTGCCATGTAGGTTACTACAGAATTAGTATGCTTGCACTATGCAAAAAGTATACTTTTGACATACTTATTTCTATGAGGATTAAAATAAACCTACCGCGCACAAACAGTTGCTGTAATGTTACTTCTATCTGTATATGCCACAAAGGATGGGGGTGTTATGGTGACCTCAAACTTGGGCAAAACTGCATAACAAAAACATACATGTTCATCATTACACAGTGAAACACCAACAGCAAATAGGGCTACAACCTGCTTGGGATTACCAGCATTATTACCATAGTGACCAAAGCCAGGTCTATGAAAAGTATCTGGCTTATACACAGTGAAAGTTTGTTCCCCTAGCCAAAGAAAGGCAAGAGCATAATTATGCCCTGCAACAGCCTATGGCCGATGACCACAAGTTTTACATTTCCGTTTCGAAATGCAGAATGAGCAGGGAGTTTTGTTGTTAGTTGACCAGGAAGTTGACATAACAATTAAAAGTTTTTAGGTGCCTGTGCAGGCTCCTTGTCTGAAATTTTGGTCACCCGCGGACAAATTGTAGGCACCTGTTAGGCAGTATCCAAGGCATTTCATAGCCTTTCTTGCTAAGCAAGGACCTTAATGAGTTTTAAAGCACCCTTGCCCAGCAGGCAAGGGTCCATGCAAGTCATCTTGTAACTTATCCATAAACTCTAAAAACATGCAAGCAATGGCCCAAGCAAAACCCCCCATCCCCCACCCCTCCCAACAACAACAAGTCCTGTTAACAGTTCATTGATATCTGCAAAAAGTTGGGATCTGAAAAATAGTCATGTGTGGGTTTGACGGCAGTACATCTGTCTTACCGTGCCTAATAAGTTTCTCAATTTTCCATGATTTACAGCATTTCCTTCCCCATGTTGTGTCCAGGAAAATAATTAAACTTAAGGTAGTATTATACTGTGATTGAGAACTTACCATATTTATCAACCTTGAAAACTAATGTCTTCTTTTCACCCTGCAATATGAACAACATCTTAAATTGAGTAGGTTTTAAATATTATTGTGCTAAAATTTTGTAACTCATTGATGGATTCCAAATGCCTATAAATTTAACTAGAGTGAGTGATCTGCTGACAGAGGAACTTTTCACTCAGTGCACATGGTAACTATGATTCATAGTCTGTATAAATGGAGTTATAACACTCCCAAACTTTCAGTAGAAAATACAAACTACAACAAGGAAAAAGACTGTGAGACTGCACTATGTTGCAAGTACCCTGTGACCAGAGGCCCTTCAATCTTCCTAGATAAGTCTTCCTCTTCCCGACTTATCTTAATCTAGGAAGATCAAAGGGCCTCTGCTCACAGGGTAGCACTATGTGAGCCCTTAGCTTTTACATTTAGAGCAATACTCTTGTGGACATCACCTATTGATATTAAAATGCCAACCAGAAGTGCAATGGTTCTTGGAGCAAAAGATTCTTTTGTTTCACTCATTACAAATTTAAATAACAAAACCAATGCTTGTATAACAGTGATGTGTTCTACAGCCTGTTGTTGACGAGAGTCAATTAACCACATTTTAAAGTTACTGCTATTAATTTCCTTCGCTCAAAGCGTGGATTTCAAACACATAAATTAAACATACCTGGAATAAGGCTTCAATTTTCCAGTCTCCCAATACAGGCTGGCTTGACAAAGGAAATTTCAGGCTTATTATTCCTATATTATAAAAGAAAATAAGGGTGTCTTTAGTTTTAAAAAAAAAAAAAATTATGCGATGTGTACCATGTGCACATAAACAAGGCTAAGGTAGAACCTCAATTCATAAGGAATAAAAGACACAACTGTGAATGATATTTGGCAATTTTTAGAACCAGGCAAGATCATAAGACAAGCTTCACTGGGCCCCCCTGTGTATTTGTTACTACTTTGGCATCCTTGCTACTCTACTTTGGGTGTCCCAGAATGCATCACCACATTGGGCAGGGGCACCCAACAACGGTTTCCCCCTAATTACTTTGAAAACACTTTTTAGGCTATCCAGAGCTAACTTTTAGAACTCTAGAAAAGTATTCTAAGTGGCGCTAAGAAATTTATATCTGTTTGGTCATCCTAGGGTAACTTGAGTCTTTTCGAAGTTACGAGCCAGGGCTGCAGTATTATTTTCCCAAAAATTTTAGCAGCAATTTAAAGCTTTCTGAAAGTGATAGTTTTTCTGATTCCTTTCTGCATTGCATTCTCGATTCCAAAAATTTTAGGTTTCCTTTCTCTACGAAAAATAACCTAACCTGCTGGGGAGTGAAATGGGAAAAATGATGGCACGGTGATGTGTCAGAACTCTGGATACTCTCTGCAAGTATCACAAAATTTCAGGTTTCTAGTATGACAATCACTATTTTCTATTTTGCACGTGTCAGTACTCTGGCCACCCTGTGCATGCCTCACAATCTTATGTCTCCGGTAATTGTACAACAAAGCTTGCACATGTACATGACTTTTGTATGAATACTATATCCTTAAAATTGGTTTGCTTACCAAAATTAAAATCAAGGTTATCCCACTGCATATTCCTCACATGAATCGGGTTCTAAAATCAAATGTAAAACAAAAATGTTGAGATAACTATTAAGACTTTAATGATAAGTTAAAAATTATATCTTTTTCAGCAAGAAACTTAGGAGTGTTTGCCTTAAAGGTTGCATCATATTAAGGCACACCAGATGTAACAAAACTACAGATTGTAATTATGGAATTATAACTACAGTCTGAGCATGTCAAAAGGGCAACCTATTTGGACTTATTAGAAGTTTTACACACTTTTAGCGTTCTGAAAAAACTCCATAAGTCGTCAAGAGAATGATTAAGCCCTATAGAGGGGGTGTTGGTTGATTTCCAAGAAGAAATAAATATTGCTGACATGGCCCCTTAAAGCAGGCCCCACGTTAAGCCAAAGCCATATTTTAAACAGACACATACACCACTAAATGCCACACATCTTTCCATATTTTCAGTGAAATGAACAAAACTGGTCAATCTCTCTTTTAGTGGATACCAGCAAGGATCCTGTGTATATCACCTTAATACTGGAGACTTACTTTCTTCTTGTCCTTTTGAAGCCAGCAATTCTTGCAAAATTTAAGATACATGTTATAGTGGTAACAAACACAATTTTGTATATGTACTTACAGTTATAGTAACCCTTGAGATCTACAAGAAAAGGTCAGAGTTATCTTATAAATAATACTGACAGTGAATTACAAGAAAACGACTCCAGAAAATGTTAGAACTCTGGCCCCAGTTGTTCAAAAGATGGATAATGCTATCCACTAGATAAATCTCTATCAACTGGATAATGCAATCAATTGGTTTTCATATTACTTTTCCACTAAGTAGCACAATCCAACTTTTGAACAAGGCCGCGACCTGGAAGTAATTCTGTTGTGAATCAGCCTCTAAATTGCCTGGGTTGTCAACTGAATGTTTTAACCCTTTAAGTCCCAATATTGACCAACAATAATTTTCTCCTAACAATTCTCCATAGGTTGCCGAGAGAAATGGTTATGCGCGTTAATAAAATGATCACTAAAGAGAAAATGCTTTGATCTGTTATCAAACTCTCAACCAGTAATCATTCTTTAAAGAAATGTATGCCGATCAGTATGGAGAATTCATATGTGGATAATGGGGCTGACAAGGGTTAACCATTTAGTCTTTAACCATTCAAATTATGAATAGCAAAGCTAATCACAGCAATGGGATGCCATATATACATTAGACGGTCTCAACTAAGTCAGTAGGTGTCAGTATACTATTTTCAAACAGTGATGGAGCTTAAAAAGTGCTGGAAGGAAGACTTTTCAACACAGGTATTCAGCGGGTAAAAAGAGACTGGGTACTTATATGGATTGACAAGCACTGTTAAAAGGTTATATGTCATGTTATGGGAATTCATTAAGAGGCTATTCATAAGTAAAGGGCACAATGACTAAATTACGCTGCAGTGATGACTACCACTTAAGCTGATTAAACAGACACCTAGAGTTGGTCCCTGCTTTCCTTTAGTTGTCCCCGATTGACATCTCCCTAAGTCGCATGCAAAGTGCTTTGCCATTTCCAAAGACGACTGTAACTTAAGTGGGAATTAAGTTGGTAAGCGCGTACATGGATAGGTTGAATGATGGATATATAGTTAGGAATTTTACAGCACAGAGCAATCCAAGCCATGAAAGCTTGTAGGGAACACCTGAATTATCACCGACATTACATTTAGCCCTTAGAGAAGCAAGAAGCAGATTTTTACCTTTCCTGTCAACGGTCTCAAGCTTTCATCTGTACCAACAATGCGCATGTTAACTACAAACAAAAAAACATTCAGAGTATATTTTTTACACATAACGTCAAGCATGAAATTGGACAGTGTGAGTTTTGCACTATTTTGACTTAGCTTGGTAATAATGGCATGGCATCATTTACTGGTACACGACGACCCGTGATTAAATGTGACACTTCATACTTCAGCACATACATAAACCTACTAACCAAGATGTGCTTTTCAAATACATACATACATACATACATACTTTACTTAAGGTATCATAAGAAATAAACGATACAAATAATACCCTAAAAAGGAAGTTTAAGAGGTTGACCCTATGTAAATAAACTTCCAAAAATAGAAATTAAAAATATATGCTAATGAATAAGATCTAAGATCTAAGATGGATAAAAACCTAAGAAATACGCATGTACGATTGAAGAGCTATTTTAAAACGTCTTAAATTTCCTATCTCAACAACATGGGCGGGCAGGTCATTCCATTCACGAATAATTTTAACAAAAAAAAAAGGATTTATAACAATTGCAGTTAGCCGATTTAACTTGCAGTTTGTAGTTGTGATTGGACTTGGTACGTTTTGAAGCGAACTCAAAAAAATCGGAAAAACAAAGGCTATTCAATCCGAATACAAGTTTATAGCATTCAATCAAAGAAAAATATAGCCTTCTATCAGTCAACAGCGACCACCGTAACATTTCGCAGCGATCTTCGTATGAATCAACTAGTTCCTATTAAAAATGCATAGCTCATTGCGGTCTTCTAGCAAACCAAAGGTTAGGAAGTGCGGGAGAGGTTGAAGGTCAAAATGCTCTTGCTTCAATGCTGTCCTTTGTGTAAGTTACACAAGGTAGAAGTTCAAAACACATGTGATCAGATTATGAGTGATAGAAGGTTCAAACATGAGCAAGCACTCAACAGTATAGGATTTTGTCCTTGAAACAAAGAAAAGATCAGATTGTTATATATGTACCTGTCTGGCCTGGTTTATATATGGGTTTATCTGTTTGAATGAAGAGAGCTTTCTTGGGAATTTCAATGGTGATTTCTTCACTCTTTCTAAAGACTTGTTTTCCCCCTACTGGTCTGCCAGTCACCATCAGTTTAGCTTTGATGCTTTTTTTCCTCCCAGCATTCAAATCCTTTGGGATCTGTTAATAATAAATAACTTATTAGAATAAGATGATAGGCAACATCTGTTTTTTGGTCAGGTAATGATTTACAGGTACAGTTGAACTTTCCATATGCAACCACCAATGAAAAGAGTTAGTGGCCACTTACTAGAGATTTAACTGTATATAGTAGGGCTTTGACTGAGAACAGTTTGGTGTTTATGATAGGTTGTCGCTTATGGGAGGTGTTTGCTAACAAGAGGTGGTCACATATGGAGGTTCGACTGAATCTGTAAATCAGCAGTTCTCCCTGACAAAGCAATCACCAGATAATCATTGTAGCAGTTGTGATATTAATAGAATCTTTTAGAAGATATTCTCAATACTTAGTAGTGCTTACCTACTTAACACTTCATGAAATAAAATAATATGTTATCACTATTATTACCTTGAGATTCAAGAAACCATCAGAAAGGCTGGTGAACTTCCCTTCATCGCTTGCAATAATTCCTCTTCCATTGTTATATACAACTGTGGCATTCACATCCCAAGGGGTTGAGACTGAGAAAAGGTTAACAGACAACCTTTGAGTGCTACCGGCACGGAAAACTCTTGGAGATGTTACCAAGTAGCCACTGAAGAAGAAAACAAAAGAAACTTCTATGCATTTAAAGTGTTTTCATTAATGTTGCTATTTGCCAGCTTTACCTTATTACAGGAAACTTAACACTTTGTGAAATTAATGTGCATTGTAAAAAATTTACTTTACTTTTAAGTCGGGTTAATTTGTTGAAATGTTAATTTCCATACCATTAATTAAGTGGAGCATTAACTTCCTCAACTTTAATTTCCATTATTTTGGATACACTGACATTCTTGACAACAGTTACTTTGAAAGAGGAGTGTTTTATCAGAGGGGAGATCTGCTGACAACAGTGAAACTGCAAAGAACCCTCCAATGTGACCAGATTTCTTCACTTGACTTGTTTAGGGAAATGAACAAAGTTTCCATTTCAGATTACATGTTTAACTTTGTTTCTGTTGTCTCTCCACAAGTTTTGTTTCTTTGTTAGTGTCACGTTAATTTCCTTCATTTTGAAATGTTACCCTCTCTTCTGCATTAATTTCTTTTATTTGAAAGTTGTTTTCCACCAAATTCACGTTAATTTAAGTCACGTTAATTTACAATACTCTTTTTTTTCCATAAGAATATATATAAGCTGAAATTTGCAAAATTGTAAGAATATTTTAAGAATATACCCCAAGCTGAGACATTGAAAAGGATATATTTTTGTGTGTTCAAAAGCTGTAAATACAATACAATTACATGTTTTCAACTTATTCCATTCTCTAAAGGGGAACTGACTAGGCAACAAAACCAAAAAACCTGCACTAATTATAATAGTCTAAAACGGATACCGTAAAATTCTGAAAATAAGCCCCTCCAAATATAAGCCCCTCAAAATTGTAACGCAAAAAACCCTCCGTTAAATCGCCCCTCCGAATATAAGCCCCTGAGGGGTTTGTACATGGAATTTGCCCTCAAAATACAAAGTAAAACAAAGCAAAAATGGTAAATTTCCTTCCCACTACAAGCTAGCTCAATCGATTTTGAAACGCAAATTTCCCTTCGTACATAAGCCCCTCCAAAAATAAGCCCCTCAAAAAGGGCCTTTGAAAAATATAAGCCCCGGGGCTTATTTTCGGAATTTTACGGTATGTCATAAGCCATAATCTAAGAATAATACAAGAATATTTTCTGCCTAGAATTGGCAGAAAAATAAGAATGTTCAGCCTGGGCCGGAAAAACAACATTCTTATTGAAAAAAAACAAAGAGTGTTCCTTAATTTCGTGCAGCATTGATAAACTATAAGCTTAATATGGTATCTCGTAAAGTGAGTGGTAAACTTAAATCTAAAATTAATCATAAAGAAGTTGATAGTAATATTTAATGTTTTGTTGATGTACCTTTCTTTTGAAGTCCATATTTGACTGAGTTAAATTTCATTCGACCTGACAGACCTGATAAAGATCAACCGTGATTCATATTTCCCGCCATATTTTTCTCTCGAATGACGTAAAACGTTACCCTGCCGGAAGAGCGACTTAGATCTTTCTACGTCCAAACATTCAAGATTGTGCTCATAACAGTGAAAAATCTTGCAGATTACAATTACGAAGACAAACATTTCGACAAAAATCCAAATAATCTTCACTAAGGTTACATGGAGAGAAAATTCGAGTTGACGTGCACGCATACAGTCTGAAGCATAGTCGGTTGCCCCTTCAGCCTCTGCAGAAGGCCAACGTCAACAGCCCCCATCCAAATTTCGGGAAAGTGGCTCTTTGAAAACTTCACACCACCAGGCAAAAGACTCAAAACTGTTCTTGAGCTTCAAGTACGTTATTTTCACCTAGAAAAATCAACTGCTTTGAAAAGGAAAATTAAACTCGAATTCTATGAAACGGGATACACGTGTTGACACATTATATACCGCAAACCAAGAGACTGAGGGCTTCGGGCGACTTTCCGTGCGCCAGCGAGGATATGACTTGCGGTTATTGATTTTCAAAATGGCGAACAACAAAGTCGATCTGGGTCAGAAAAGAAGCGAAGAAAATCGTTCACGGTAGATTTATAAAGATCCCATTGGCCTAATAAATCGTGCTAAGCGACAGGTATAGACATTTTTTAAGGTGAGACTTAAAATAAGTAATTCATTTATTCACACGAAACTCCTCTGGACCCTGTGATTACATCATGCATAATATTAATTGTGAGGAGTTGCGGAAATTTTTTATCTGAAAGGGATACTGTTAATGACATGTACGTGGAAATCTGAGTTCAGATATCAACAGAAACATCAACAGAATTCTTGACTTGTTAACCCTAGCATCCCACGCAGACGTTTTTTGGAGAGCTCGTTTTTCATGTCTCCGCGAGCTCCCCTAAAAACGCCTGCGTGGGAGGCTATGTTAACCCCTTCCTGTTCTCAGACAGGACGTCTAGGCTCACAACACTCATAACTTTCAACGAGTCCCAGAATGAGTGCATTCAAAAAAATTGTCTTTTAAGACACCAAAATTACTTATATGCTTTCCTTTTAAAACACTTGGTTTGAAGAAAAACCATTTGCCGAAGAAAAAAGAGGCGAAATTGCGCACACTTTTGTTTGATTCGCGTAATCAGCTATCACGGCACGCCCTGAAAGCACGTACGAGAGCTTTTATCCGAGGTGTTATCGCCTCAATTATCCCAAAATGGCTGGATAAGATACTGCAAATTGAGGTTCAAAGTTGTAAAAAATGAAAAAAGGCAAAGAAGGGCTAAAGACTAAACGTTTATCTTCTAAGATAAGCTATTCCCTTTGGGCAAAGTCCTCGAGAAGTTCAGCGATACTCGGGATTCCTCTGTTTTGATTTGCTTTCGCCATGTTAAAAAAACAAAATTAGATTTTAAATCATGAGATATCAGGAGATTTAGTATCGTTTACAAGTATCATTTTATTTTAAAACCCTTCTTCTCTAAAAGCCTATATGCATTTTGGTGCACTTATGAAACTCCTTCGGCACTGATTACTTTCAGTGATGTGTGCTATTTCATATTCACTATTTAGCAAAATGTTTTTAAAAATTTGGTAGTCTTTGGAATGGAATGATTAATTGGGAACAAGACAATCTAGACTGTTCACAGTCCCCTATTTTTTCGTGAGATCGTTTAGATATACCGCGTCTTACCGTCACAGCTACATCTTGATTTTCAAATGTACCGAGGGGGAAGGGGGGATTATAGCTCTTGACACTCACCTAAGATGGCAGCCCGTAACGCAAAGCGCTCGATCTCGACGATCTTACGGAAAAATAGAGGACTGTGAACAGTCTAAAGACAATCTGTTCGCGTGGAGGAGTGAGTAGACGCATGACGACATTTAGTGTCGTGAAATACTGGCTTTCAATTGAATTGACGGATGACGTTTAACGATCGGACACTTCTATGCAAAAATCCAACGATCAGGATTGAATTTTCAAAAACTTATACTTGATTTTAAGGAAATTTCAGTTAACTTACAGCGTTTTCAGCTTCAACTCTGTGACTTTTCATCAAAAAGAAAAGCCCGAACTGCAGAGACCTAAATCCCCGTTACGATCATTGGTCAGCGAAAGTCACAGGGGCACCCAACGAGAATATAGTTCAAACAACTTAAACATAGCGTTATTAAACGTATTTTAGTATTTAAACGGTAGATATAGGCATATTTTTATCCCCTACAAATTTTTCCTCTGTTCGGATTTCCTAGCTGAAAGTCTAGTGATCCGAAAATTATAGGGATCAAAACTTACCTTTTCGAAAATTTCAGCCAGAAAAAAGGCTTTCGAAAATTTTAGGTGCCCTTTTTAGGGTAAAAATTCCCTTAAAAATGGGCAATTATACCATTTTCTAGAAGTTCGAAAATCCTAGGAGAGGCAGGCAAGCAAGAAATTTTACAAGACAAATGTTCCGAAAATTCTAGATCTCAAATCGTATTCCAAACAGATATTTTCCGAAAATTGACGTTGGGTGCCCCCGAAGTCATGTCGTGCACGTAGAATGACTTTTTCGCGCCGGCAAAGAAGTGTGGTCATCATATTTGGAGATTGGACCTAAATTCAGTATCAGTAAATACAAACAAACCATCTAAGTGACAAGCTCACCTCTCAACAAGAGTTATGGCGTAACAAACCATGAACGCAGCAAATATCACGAATACAGTCTTCATTTCAGCTTGTCGCTTGCTCCTCACAAGCAGTTAACTGGATGGACTGTGGATAGAACCTGATTACGACTCGTACTTTTACAGGAGGAAGATGTTTGCGAAAGAACGAGCTTCGCCCACGGGCTTCCGTCCAAGTTAAGAGAATGTTTGCTCTTTCAGCCACTCTTTTTATAAGATCGGTAATTCAATACGTCGCACGTATCTTTAATGCATAACGATGAAAACAACAACAACAACAAGTTTATTCAGTATTACCATTTTGTAAAGGTGTTACCGATTAAAATAACAATAAACAGCTAAATTTAAGGAAATCGGAAGATATAATGGAATGGTAGAATTAACTATGGTTCTCTCGTCTTTCAAATGCTTGAAAGATAAAATTAGCAGATAGCCTGCTGATATGTGAATCAGTGTTGCTAGAAAACGAGAAATCAAAATCAAAAAAATCAAGCAAAATCAAAATCAAGCAACTGTTAGAAATTGAATCCAATAATAATATCAGTGTCAACAATTAACTTCCTGTGATTACGGAGGAAGTTCTAGTGATCTGTGGTTTACTACTATTTCTGGAAGGAATTGATGGCTTTTTTTTTTTTTAAAGGGATATCTAACACCCTGGTGCCCTCCCTCTGGTGCCAGGGTCAGTAGACGCTTAGCACGAACATGGAAGAAAACAGGAAAACAGAGCGAAAGGTGGAACTCTTCCCCTATCGTCTTTTCAATCTCATCTCAACTGGAGCTTTTACCCGGCTCACACTTAGCCCCAAGGAAGGCTTTTGATACACGAATTCACCAAGGTTAATAGCTGTCCCTAGCCTCCCTTGCTGGCGTTTTTAGGGGATCTCGTTTTTCATCCCTTCACCCGAACGCCTACTCAACCGATGACAATAAGAGTAATAATGATAAACAGTTAAATTTAAGGAAATCGAAGATATAATGGAATGGTAGAATTAACTATGTTTCTCTCGTCTTTCAAATGCTTGAAAGATGAAATTAGCAGATAGCCTACTGATATGTGAATCAGTATTGTTAGAAAACGAGAAATCAGAATCAAAAAACTCAAGCAAAATCAAAATCAAGCAACTGTTAGAAATTGAATCCAATAATAATATCAGTATCAACAATCAACTTCCTGTGATTACGGAGGAAGTTCTAGTGATCTGTGGTTTACTACTATTTCTGGAAGGAATTGATAGCTTTTTTTTAAGGGATATCTAACACCCTGGTGCCCTCCCTCTGGTGCCAGAGTCTGTAGACGCTTAGCACGAACATGGAAGAAAACAGGAAAAAAGAGCGAAAGGTGGAACTCTTCCCCTATCGTCTTTTCAATCTCATCTCAACTGGAGCTTTTACCCGGCTCACACTTAGCCCCTAGGAGGGCTTTTGATACACGAATTCACGAAGGTTAATAGCTGTCCCTAGACTACGAGTAGTCCCCCAATTTTCCTGAGGAAAAATGGGGACTACTCGTAGTCTAAGCTGTCCTTATCCTCCCACGCAGGCGTTTTTAGGGGATCTCGTTTTTCATCCCTTCACCCAACAAACGCCTACTCAACTGATGACAATAAGAGTAATAATGATAACAATAATGATAATTATAATGAAAATATACGAATCGAGGAGTCGAGTTATCATATGTCGGCTCAAAAATTGAAGATGCTGTAACCACTGCACGTGTCAAGTCCCGTATTAACTTTGCCAATGTAGGCTCCTTGTTGTCCAGAAATATTACAGAGTTGTGCGCTCACGTCTAAATAAACCTGTGGATCGGGAGAAATATGATAGTCAAGATAATAGCTGTGATCACACTACAGACTTTTTACCTAGGTAAACACGACTTGTTGACAGTTTACCTGGGGAAACTTGATTTTTTAAGTGTGACCGATTTTTCCCTAGGTAACTTACCTCGGGAAAATTTTATCGTCTGGGTCTTGGATATGTCTCGAAAACAATAGAGTTTACCTTGACAGCTACCCCAAAGCAATAGCTAGGGAAAAATGAAATACCGCGGTTGCTAGCGGGACTCTGTAAAGTGCGGATCCGGACGGCGGATGCGGACGGCGGACGGCGGACGGCGGACGGCGGACAATAATAATTTTAAAAAATAAAAATAAATAAAATAGACGTAAATAATAAATAATGAGAAAAAAAAAGACTGAATAATGAGAAAAAGATGTAAATTTTTGTAAACTTTAGAAAATAGAAATATTCACTAGCAACCCGGAGTGCTCTTGTGTGTATCAACTGTTGGTGTTCCAAAAATCATTTTCTTTCTTCTATCCCTTCTTTAAACCTCTTCAAATTCCATTTAAATTCAGCTATCTATTTATTTTAGTTATTCTTTAGAGGAATGACTTAAAGGGGCTATGTCGCGAGGTTTCGCCTAATTTTAGTAACTTTAATTTACACTTTTATCTGTCAAAATTCTTTTGTCCACTGATACGAAAGGAACCAGGACTCGAAACGGAACCAGTGGCCACGTACACAAGAGCTATTGCTTTATTTTTATTTAAGTCCAACAATTTCATCGCTCTTTTCTCAAGCGAAACAAAATCAAAAAAATGTTAGGTTTGTCTGTGGCGGTAAAGAAGTACAAAGCGAAGACTCTGGTACCATGTTAATATGCTGCAGCGTACTATATTTAGTCAACAGAGGAGAAGAACCTTCGTCCAACAAACAAACAAAACTTTATTAAGACGTATCCATGTTCAACAGATTTCTATCGCTACTCGTACATATTGAGATATTTAGCCGTCCGTTTTCAGAATCGGAAAAATAACCGGGCCAATGGTGTTGCACTATATACGTACAATACATAACAATTCACGGAAGGGCATAAACTGGAAACATTTTACTGAGAAAGTCAAGCTGTTGATCGGTTAGCGAAGAACGTATAAACCATGGCATGCTACAATGAGAGAAATATGGCTGTTTAGCCCTAATACAGGCACCACTACAATGAAAATATACATTGCTTTGCTTGCTCCTCATTTGCCCTCCGTGCTGGAAGCTTCGCATCATGTTGGAGGCTACGACTAGATCATGAGGAGGAAGCGGAATCTGCCCTCCCGGTTTAAGGGTGTTAGAACACCCATAACATATGCTCACTTGAGGTGGGCAGAACTTTAAGGGATAAACAATAAACTGCCCTGGCAGTGGGGATGGATATGGAACCCGCCCAAGCGCATTTGAAGGACTTAAAGGAAATGTCAGGGGCAGCTCTGACGGTTGCGAAACCACTGGTTGCGGAGCTGCGAAGGGCGGAGCTGCGAAGGGTGGTGGCGCTGCAGATGGAGAGGGTGGAGGCGCTTTGTAGGCTGGTGGCACTGCGGTGGGAGGTAGTACAGGAGAGGGCGTCGGCGCTGCGGAGGGTGATGGAGCTTGCTCACTGGCACTTGGTCGAGGCACAATGTTGACAGCTTGCCCTCTACCACCTTTCCTACGCGACGTTGAAGGTCTCTGGGATTTTTTGCCAACTGTTGGCGCGCTGTCACAGGTGACGTAACTCGTTGTAGTTAAGGTGTGGCTGCTTCTCTTAAACCAAGTGAGATAATTCTGTAATTTACCGCACTTCTCTGCCACGGCTAAAGAATGTGCACATATTTTTGTAGACTTATAACGAGGACAGTCCTCGCATGTCACCTTCCCACTTTCTGCTAGTACAACATAATGTGGCCTTCCCTTGTCGCTTTCAACCATAAACGTATGGGGCTTAAAAGGTATTTCCACAATGGAATCTTTCTTGAGGAGAAGAATGGATGCTTGCCGGTACATCTCTTTTAGGGAAAGAAGAGCTACACCAGCTGCACCTGACTCCTCTGGTCTTACAGACAGCTCTGGAGGGCTGGTAAGGGAAGTGTTCTCTTCCTTGTCATCGTTTACATTACCACTGTCATCCTGCACATCAACATTTCTTCCAGGTACTTCTTCCCAGAACTTTTTCAAATGCCTTTCACGCTGACGAGCATTCAGGGAAAACCACTTGTCAGGAGACATTTGTAAGTGAAGGTAGTCGTCTGTGAGAGCATATGGACCTCTGTTTATTACGGCTGATTCACAGTCCCGTCGCTGCTGCTGAATTACTTTCTCCATCTTGTCGTTAAATTGTGACATTTCATTCTTTTGAAAGTCTACTCCCATTTTAATAATTTTATTTGCTGATTCTGGCATGTTGTTATAATATGCTTCTGGAGGATTTCCTAGGCCTGCATTCAACCGAATGGGGCGCAACATGTTGTCTTGGATCATTTTTTTTCCTGAAATAAAATGAGACAATGTTGTCCTTTAATTTAATAGCATAAGGCGTAAATTCTCTACATTTTCCATAACTATACATAAAACAAGGATTGTCGTACTTCAAAACGTTTTTTTTTTTTTAAAGTACAAGTCAAGCTCGTGATTACGTTAAAAGTTCCAAGTTCCGGAAAACGCAATAACAAAGGGATCTCTAGCTGGCTGGTTTAGAAATGAAAGGCCAGATGTCCGATTTCAATTGCAATTTGTGTCATTGCCCAACTGTTACTTACATAGCACCTCCAGTAAAATGAAGGTCTTGCATAAATATAAGAATATTGAATGAAACCGTTGCTATATGAACCGCGCATGTTATTACAAATGGCGATGACATAAATTCTCCATATTCCACACAGAAAACCGTGTGGCATGAAATTTGCGCGCAATCTAACTTTCGCGAATTTTGCGGGGTTTCCAGCGTTTCACGAAATGTGATATCGTAAAAATAAACTCCGGCCATAAAAGCTGAATTTAAATTTGAATTGAAAACATTACCAACATTACAATTACAACAAATAGGGAAGAGTCTCTGCGGTTTCTGAATAAATTTGATAAATCGAGTTGATATATTTGTTACCAGAAACCCAAATTACCAAAATTAAACTCCCGCAATTCAAACATTTCCTAAGTACATGAACTGCTGTCACCTTTTCCGAGATATATTTGTGAAATGAAGGTTGCTTTCCAGCAGGCAGATGGGCCTTTTCTCG